CAGAAGTAGATTTGTTTGACAAGGCTTATTTTGCACAGAACTATGTTGACTAGCATTAATTATATTCCTATATTTTAATAATTTATTAATTGAATCTCTTTCAGTTTTCCTATTATTTCTCTCGGGAATGATGTTGGGCTAAGCAGCCTGGGAATACAGATGTCAACTTCTTGCACTTAGTGGAACAGCAAGAAAGATGTAGCACTGCTGCTTAATGGAATATCCATGGCATTGTTCATTCCTTCTTTAGGTCCCCAAAATAGGTATTTTTTCTTAATTTTGATATGCTATATATTCTTTTACAAGAAAAAGGAAAATTCCATCAGCAATTTGTGAAGTAAAACAGTTTATTAAAATAAACTACCGAAAGTCTCCCTATGTCATTGTGCAACATATTAGAAATGAAAGCAAACTTAGTGTGAATATGGGAAAATATGTTACACAACTGTACTGCAGGGTTACAACATGATGAAGTGTGCTCAAATTAGAAAGAGCAATTGAAGAAGTCTGAATATGCATCTATAATTCTGAAAGGCTGTTATGTTCTTGTTCCCAGAACTGGCTTGTCAGTGAGATATAAAATAGAAATAGGTACAGTCAGTTTCCTGTGCATTAGGATCTTTTTCTGGATTACAAAATCCATCTCAAATTTTTCATTTCTGTTTTGGCATTGTAGAACTGGTGGAGTTATAATATTTGCATTTGTTTTGGATGCTTTTGATTCCCTTCGTGCTTGAAGTTTCTGGTTCTGAGTAGACTTTAAATTCACTGTGTGAAGCCAGGTGTTAAACAAAAGCAGTACATAGAAGGGAGTGGGTAATCTATTAACTGCTAGATTTTATGCTGTCCTTCATTCCTCAAATAATCTTAGACAATTAGCATTTAAAGTACATGGCTACAGCTGCTGCAAGGCAATGTCTGGGAGGAGAACCAGCACTTCATCTGCACAAATTATCACCTTGTTACACTTTGCAGATGTGGTATCAGGAGCTCTTGGCAGGAAGGGCCAGGTAAGCGACTCCACCATGGGCTAGTGCAGATGTACCAGCAGAGCAACACTAAGGGCTGGGCTGTGTCTGATGTTTTTCTGAGTCAGAGTCTGGATCATTAGGTGGTCACTGAGTGCCTATTTTTTGCTAGATTCCTAGAAATCAGGCATACCAACAAGCAAGGCCATCACAAAACAATGGGATGGCAGAAAGGCATTTAATAGAAAATGGTCTGCTGAGAGCTAGAAGATCTGCTTTAGCAAATCACACTGCCTAATTTTTGTCACAGATGTGAATCCAGGTTCTCCAGATGTGCCAGATTATTGGATGCACTATCTTGAAAGCCATTTCAGGGCCTTCCCTTATGCTTGTCTGCTTTAAACAAAGGATTAAATATTCATTGACCCACAGAGACAGAAAAAAAGAAGGTAACCCTATATTCAGACTGTTGTGACAGGAAAAGGTGCATGAGCATCAAGATCTCAATCTTAAAATTTCACATAAACTCTGGTAAAATATTGTCACAGATTATGGGAATTCCTCAAAAGATTCTGAATGGAAAAATTGGTCTCCTGGCACTGTTATCCTGGAGGATAACATATTAGGATTATTGTGAAAAAAGATAAAAGTTCTACTCTGGAGAATCTTTTTTTTTTCTTTTTCTTTTTTCTTTTTTTTTTTTTTTTTTTGAGAAGGATTATGTTTTGTGGATCTAAAACATGCCCATGATTAAGGTCTCTGGGTCTCTGAGCAGCTAAGTTTGTACTGATCCTGGTTATTTTACTTGTGAGATTACTTTATGTGGAACTGATCTTTCAGTCTTTTGCTTTTTTTGCATTTATTTCACTGAACTTCTAACCTGACACCATCCTTCTTTCACCAGACTTGATAATGGTTATTTATAGTTTCTATGTATAGACTATCAATTCAAATCTCCCTGTCTGTTTTTAGATTTCTTTCGCTTCTTCAGTTCTCAGGGCCTTGTCCAGAAAAGTGTTGACAATCTCCAAGGATGGAGATTCCACAGCCTCTCAGGGCAACTGGGCATGCCAGTGCTTAACTGCTTCTTGTTCATCATTAAAATGAAACTCAAAATCCAGTCAAAGTTTAACATTTTCAATTTTTGCAATACTTATCTAAAAGTGTTAAAGTCATCTGCAATATTCAGTAAATCTAAGTTGAAACTTACCTTCATACCACTGATAAAAGATAAGAGAAATCATGCAACGTCCCAATGGAGAATAAATCAGTCATACTTAAAAATGAGACACTGTATGATCTGGTTTTATAAAATTATGAGGATTTGAGTTTTTACTCCTAGTTCAGACATGCACAGTTTTAAAAATAAGTTCTACGTTTAGCGAGCTGGCTTGCAATCTCAATATTCCTTTGTCATTGCATGAATTTCCCCTCCCCCCACCCCACTTTTGTTGTACATTAACAATATGATTATAAAAATAGGTTTCCCATTCTGCTTTGTCTTTACATAGTGATTTGAGTTTAAAAAGTGCTTTATTTTAGCAGTGAGTATTAAGACTTATTTAGAATACATAAAGATAAAAATCAGGGCATAGATCTACTTTTAACCTCAAAGATTCTGCTTTGCAATGGCTGTAACTGGCACAGTAAAGAGGTGGAGAGGTTTGCAAAACCACAGCAACATAGATCCTGTCAGCAAAGCTTTAGTTCTTTTTCTGCCTGTGTAAGTTCAGGACAGGATACAATCACTGAAAGATTATCATACTAAATAAGCACTTCTGATAAACTGTTTTTAACCTAATCAGCAGTTAGCTGAATGTCTTACAGAGATCTTCCCTTTGCCCAGTGGGATGGCCCTGTGGTGGTTCACTAAGAAAACAAGATGCACAGAGATTTTGGTCTGCCACTAGCAATCTGGGGCCCAGAGGAAAAAAAAGCAAGCCATTGACTTTTCAGCAGTTTTCTCGTAGCAGACCTATAAAAATTCCTTATTAAAAACACATTGAAAACAAGGTAGTATAGATCTTGGACACTGCAATTTTCTTGTTTCCCATTTGATTTGAAGGTATACGATATTTTTGATTTTATGCTTCAGGTAGGCCTGTAGAAATTCTAAGGCAGAAATTCATTGCTCAATACAAGGAGTTCATCAGCTTCATTAAAGATAAAAAATTAGTAGGGGTGAAACGCAGTAAATGCAATTGTCTCCTATGTGTTGATCCAACTCCCATTTATGCCACATAAAGAATTTGTGTTTTCAAAGCTGTTCACTGCAGAGTTCTGCCCTGCTGGAAAGAGATCTCCATCAGTTTAGGTACTGCAAGGCTCTGGGTAGTGTCACTTTGTGTGGATTCTGTCCGTGAGTGTAGAGTCCAGCTCAATCATGAATTGTCCATGGGTGCTTCTGAAAGAGCAGCAGACAGTGAGGGTGCACAGAGAATCCTTCCTCCAGCCATCCAATGGGACATATTTGTTTTCCCTTAATATATTTGATTTTGCCCAAAAATAATATTATGGTTAAACTCGCATGTGATAGATGTCATTGGATTATCATTTAAGAAAATGCTTGAGTATTTAATTTTCAATATGAGCTTAAGTATGAAGGACTAAATAGATGCATAAGTATCTGAATTATTTATGATTTTACATGTATCCTTTAACATGATAAATCAGAGCTTAAACTAACAGTGCATTGTGCACTTTCTAAAACTATCACAAAAATCTAAGTTAAGACAATTTATGTGAGTAAATCCCAAATATACATGAAAGTTTTGCAAGCTTATATATTATGCATACCTTCCTAACATAAATCAGGGGGAAATACAGTGTATTTAGGATTTTATACCAATATTTTAATGTAATTTTATTTAATAACTTCAGAGTTTACATCAAAATAATTAATCTCATATTCATTACTTCATGGCTTAGTCTTTTTTATAATAATGGAAAACTATTTTAAAGAAACATAATTAAAATTATACTATAATGATTATGTATGAAATATGTATGAAAACATGACTTCTTCAAATGAAATTTGATTTTATGGCTATCTATCTCTGCTTATGTATTTTAGGGGAATCAAAAAGAACTTTGCTTAAATGACTAAATATTTTTCAGAAAAAAGTCCTCAATGTTTTCAAAGCAATTCTTGCTATTATTTAACAAATATTAATCATGCTTACAGAGGCCACTTGAGAAAAATTTATATAAGACATTTTTTACCAGTCATGCCATAGGCAGAGAAGAGAGCCACAGGGCTGAAATGCCAGTAAAGTGTTTGTATGCAGTGCTCCTCTGGTAGTTAAACTGCAGGAATGTGACATTGATCTGAAATGGGAGTTGTTTGAAGTAGCAGCTGTCAATCTCTATGATCAAAGGATGGCCCAAAGTCTTAATCAGATATTTTGGCATGACCACTCAGTTTATGAAGCCCAATCCACTAAAAAAGTGATCTGTCCTCAAGAGGCATTTCAAGAAGTCTGCACAGCTTGTGGATAGTGAGCAGTCATTCAGAACTACAGCTTGGACTCTATTGCCAAAGTGCAGCAATGCCTCATTTTAGTGACTACTTATCCATCAGGATTGAGGTGGGAATGAATGTCTACTGCTGTTATTATTTAAAATTGGCTGGATGATATTTCTCTGTGCATTTATTTACTCTTTCATGTACAAAAGAGTCAACATTATTTTAGAGTTCATATATGCATGTGGATTTGATTGCAATGATCTCAAGAAAGATCACTTTTAGTTGAGAAAAATGTGCAGCATATTTCTGGTCTTTTCTCAGGAACATGGTTATCTTTTCTAATTCTGTTTTTCTTTATAATTATTCAGTGTTTGTTCAGCTGCGTAAGGGGAAAATGGTAAAGAAATAAAATATGTGTCAGTGTGTATAACTGAAAAAAATTAACAATTCTATCCAAGTGTTATTAAAGCTGAATCTATTGATTTGAAATATTTTTAAGTGAGCATATGTATAAATACTGATACTAATACCTTGAAACTTCAGCAATTATTTCTCTTCCTTCCCAGGTACAAACACACTTGGAAAATCAGTCTAGATACCACATACAGCAGAGCCAGAGGCACCAGGTGAAGCAGTACCTGACCCTTGATGCCAAGCTGTCCAGCCAGACCCTCTCGCTGTCCCACTCTCACGCGGTCCAGCCGGTGGGGGTGAGCTCAGTCCTGCGGAGCGGACACATGGCTCCAGCCAGCGGCTCTCCGCACAGCCCTGTCACCAAGCTGCTGGCCCTCGGCGGCCAACACGAAAATGCGGTAGGGCAGAGCTGGATGGAGAAAGGGGAACTGGGCTCTGTCTACTTCCACAAAAATGTTACATCACCCATGCTGCACTAGAAGTGGGCAAAACATGACTTTCTTAACTTTCGAGGGGTTATGGCACTTGCTTTCTGTATCCTTTTGAATTATGTGGGTTGTTCCCTCGTGTGCCTGTGAATAGCTTACTGCAGGATCAAGCTTTTAGACTGCTGTCAGATAAAATGTACTGTTGCATCTTTTTACATATACATCATATGTTGCTGTACATTTCCTGAATATGCACTTTGCAAAGAAAAACATCCTTTTTCCAGATGGCAGTTGTTTCTGTCTGAAGGTATTAACCTAGCTGCATAAAAAATGTTAAATACAGATCACCTTCAATACATAACTGAAAAAATCACTCATTCATTTTTCAGTTAGCTGCTATATTTTTATGTGGGTTATCTTGAGTAAATTGGCAAAGATATGCTAACTTTAGTACCACCATTGATTTTAATAGAGGTTCAGCTATAATACAATATCAGATCCTTAGCCAGTATGAGATGTAGGTCATTATGGCTTTTAATACTTCAATAGATTTCAAAAGAGACTGTTTATTGGGTAAGAGGGGAATTCCTAGAGAAATGAGAAATGGAGATGCTGTATGTCTTGGACTTTAATAGAACAGAAGAATCTTACAAATACACCATGACTCATTCAAGCATTTGGATCTAACAGAGCTAAGCATGAGGGAACCCATCAAGCTTCTTGGAGAGTTCATCTGGGGCCCCTCCATTCCTTCTGCATTGACAACTGACATTTCAAGTCAGGTTTATGGATTACTGGAGCTACTTTAAAATGCTGTTTTAAATGGCTTTTGTGGACACCTATGTGACCACCTCCAGGCTAGCAAAGTGCAGTGTGCTGAAACCGTTCTCAGGCATTTTGGGTCTGATCAGGGGCCTGCCCTGTACCACTCTCTGTCCTGGTAGAGATGGGAGGGTGATACCTGGCACTGGCAAGATCCTGGCAGCTTTGCAATGATTTGGACAATCTCATCTCAGACTCAGGGGGATGGATGGCTGTCACAGTGGAATTTCTTAATGTGGGTGTGCCCTGTGGTTGAAAGCAGGCTATAGATATATTAGCAAAAAATACAGAGCCAACACCCAGGTTGGTGCAATAAACTGCACTCTTTCATATTGCTTAATTGCCAGCATTTCTTTGTATGATTTTGGCCCTGATGATGCTTTTCTAGATAAGTCTGGGCACAACTGCTGGCACAGTAGTTCTGTGTTCTCTGGTTTTAGAGAGGGAGAGGAATGAATGTATGAGCTGTGCTGGGCCATGTGGCCAAAAAAATGTGTGTTGAAAGGTCCCATGTCTTTGTGATACTTTCATTGCACAGGACCATCTACAATTCCTTCAGCTTCCAATAGCAGCAGATAGTAGAGTTAAAAGTGACATGCTCATCATGAGATCTCTCCCAAAATTGTATTGTGAATGAAACCAGACCATAATTATCATTGAAAACTCATGCTGCACTTTGTCCAAATCGATATGTATCTATAGGCCTTCAAAGTACTTATTGTTTCATACCTAGTAATTATTGAGCTATTCCATCTACCTCAGCAGTTTTGGCTCAGATTAGATCAAAAGTGAGACCAGAAGGCTGTCTGGAACAGTATCCAGTGTACTGCTAAACAGAGAAACCTCTACCTGCCCAGGAGGGCAGCATGTAACACCAAACCTTGAGTGACTCATGCCATTGCAGAACCACAGGTTCCTTTCAGGCTTCCTGCACCAATGCAGCAATGCCCTGTGGATATGACACATTTGATCGAGATGACAGGTCACAGTTACAGCTTAGCAATGCACTCCTGTCATCTCCTCATGGTGCTGCAATAAGGGGTTAAATACTGGTGTGGGCTGGTGTTTAAGAGAAAGATGTATCTTGATAAACCACAACTGTTTTCACAAGAAGTAAAAAATGTGAATATTGTATAGAAGTGTTTGAATTGTAAGGCAGAAACTTCTGTAATTGTTTTATTGTTATAATAGATATTCAAGATTAATTCCTCTATATTTTAAAAATAACATTTTTCCATTATTATTTGTACTGATTTGTCTTAAAATATTATTTTATCAGATGGAAGAAGTTATTGAAGACATAATCAATATGGAATCAAATTTTAATGATGAAGGGATAGGTTGTTCTGAAACTCCTTTACTAATGCAAAGAACTGTAAGTATTTTGTTGACTTTCATCTTGCTTTTTATACTAGAAAGATTTGAGTGATTCAAGCACATCACAGTTCAGAGACTAAGGAATAGTATCAGTGGACTGTTCTCCTTTCTCTTCAGCTGATTGCTTTTTTGTCAATAATTATTACAGAAAAGGGCATCAGTGTGGTGAGACACAATTGTTTTAAGTGGTCTGAATAGCATTTGGAGTTCTAGCCCAGTGAAATGTCTGGTGCATAACCCATTGGAGTTTCTGATGTCTGTGCAGTTCTAAAAATAATAAAGATAAAAAGTCTCTGGACCCTAGAAGGCCAGGTTTAAAGGTTTAAAGCCTTGTTTGAAGATCATTCTACCCCAACTAAAAAAATTTCAAAACATCCCCATATAATAGTTTCTATGGTACAGTTGTTTCTCCAGTGCCTTATCTTGAAGCAAGGCTCTAGTTCTGGATTTTCATACAGACAAGTTGCATTCAGTTGAATAATTTCAAGGACGAATAAAAGGAATGTTACTTTTTCACAAGAATTAATGCAACAAGCTTCAATTTTATGATGTCTCTTTGTGAATAAATGTGAGAGGACGAACAAAGGCTATTTATGTTTCCATATATGTTATATATTTGAAGAGGAAGGATGGAGCTTTTCTGGACACAAAACCACATAGAGTGTTATTACTTATGGAAGTAATACATGTCAATACCTGTAATGCACTTTACAGAAGGATGTATATTGTCCTTTCTACCCTTTTTAGCTGATGTCCAGAACTGTTTGTCCTCAGGGCTTTAAACTGTACACTGGTAAAGGGGAACTTCACCCTGATGAAGGCAGAAGGGTTGTCACAGGCTTTGACAATCCACCAAGGGCACATCAGAATACAGTCAGGTGCTTCCTCTTTATCTCCCTCTCCAGGAACACTTTTTTCTTATTTACAGAACTTCCATTGCTCCAAAACTACCTTAGGAGACAAGACTCCTGTGTTGCCCATTCTACAGTCCAGCATTAATGCCAATTAACATTTCCATGAACACCTGTTATTTGCATGCCAACTACAGAACTGTTGCAGCTGGACTGATTTACACATATGTCTGTACAGAACATAGCAAAGAAATGGTCCCTGGGGAGTGAATTAATATTTTGGCTCAAATTAATGTGAGGCAGGGGAGGATAATTTCTGGTATGATAGCGTGGGATGGTGATGAGAGGCATGAATTCTGGGTTTTGGGTGGAAGTCATACTCCCTTCAAAACCTTTTAAAATTGGATGATATTAATCTGTCCTAATTCCAGGTTCATTAGCCCTTATCTTCAGCCTTGAAGGACATTTGTCTCTAAAATTTATTGAATACCTTACTCTTGATGAGGAAGGAAATATGGAATGTCTTTTAGACCTTGATGGTATTGTATTTACAAAGATCTGCGACTCTTGAAGTGCCTCTGAGACAAGTAATAGTCTTTGGATTTTCATTTGTGCTGAGGAAATCAGCAGGCTGCTAGGTAAGCCAGGGAGTAGCACAAATTTCCAAATTGCTCTGCTCAATACAGTGGCAAAATAAAGCCTGCCTTCAGCAAGGCAGGCAAACTGCATCGGTATGAGGAAATTGAGGGGTGCCTCTGTTTCTGCTGCTCTCTTTTAGCATTGTGTACTTTAAAAATACACAAAAGAATTGGCCATATGGAGATGATTTCAGGCATTTAGCTCATACCACTTGGTTTTAAGCTATCTTTCAGGCAACATCCTAAATCTGCCAGCAAATTTTGGTCATGAGCTGTGCAATAGAAAAAGATAGAGACACAGCTAGAAAATAATTTTTCTTTATCTAATTTGTCATTATCACATTAAACATAAGGAAATTTCTTTATCTGAGCCAAACATATGTATTACAAGAGTATTGGACTAGGAGGCTTGATCAAGAATGAGAGAACACCTAATTTCCCTGAGATGTGCTGGGTTTGTGCTGCACTTCAGGCAAGAACCCATAGTAGCCCTGACATCTGCACAAGGTTCCTGCTGAGGTGCTGACACAAACATAGAGTAAGTGGGATTACAGGTGACACTGTGTTGCCTCTGTATCTGACTGATTTTGGCTTTCTCTTTAAAATTCTCCAGCATAATTCCTAAGTATTTCTAGAATTCTTTTTAGACTTTCCTTGCTTGGGATTGTCTTGATTTTGCAAACTGTTCAGAGTAATCTCTTAAATTCTGAAATGGGCTGACTTGGTTTTCAGAATGCAGTAAAAGGCTCAGGTATTTTTTCAGCAAAATCTTTTCTTGAAAAAGATAAATTTGTGATGCCGCTTTTCTGTCTCAGTGTTCTCAATGGCTTACTCAGTGGCTGAGCAATTTTTCCACTTTCTACGGTGCAACCTGTTGTGTGTTGCAGTGAACTAATGTTTACTTCAGTTAAATGCACCCATGTACCATTTTAATGGCACATTAAATGAAGACATTGAATTCTGTGAGACCACTCATGTGAATAATTGCTCAAAGGCTCATTGTCTGACCTTGAATTAATGAATTGCAGTTATGCATTAGTAGAATCAGAGAAGTGAAAATAAGAACATTCCTCCATCTCTCATTAATATAATTACAGCTTCTGAGGAGTGGATTATCTGGCTTGTGTTTGGACTCAAATTTATAATTTCATGAAACTGTCTGGTTTTGGGTGGTCACTTAAGAATTGCTTAAACTAGGCAATATTCTGGCTGTCTTTCTATTGCTCTTCAGAATACCTTAATGGCAGAAACCTACTTTTTAAAACAATCTTTTAGAAGTTCAGTTAAAATGTATGACCAGTTTTCCCTACATGCAAGAGGTCTTGATTCCTCGGAAAGAATTTGTAAAACAAATTTGTTCATAAAGCATAACAAATAAAGTCATAACTATTCTTATGAACTTTCATGTAGTGACAACTGTTTGTTCATTATGGAGAAGGTAAGATTTAATTAAAAAAAGACATAATTGAAGATGGCATCAATTTAAAGTAATTTTTCCTTGTAATAATTTAGTTTTAGGAAATTTTAACTAACAGACAGCAGAGTATTTGTTTATTATAAGACAATATTTTTTCTCTAAGTGTCATATCAGGAGCAGCAAGTTTGTTCCTGACAGTATAAGAATCATTAAAAAAAAAAGAAACAAATAATGCATGACTGAGTTTTAGAAGTAAATTACTGTCACGTAGGTCAGATATGGTGACAGACATTTGAAAAGTAAATGCTTTTCATTTTCATCAGAAGTTCATTCAAAATCCTTACAGTCTATTTAACATTTTGTAGTAAATTTAAAGTATATTAGTACTTCCAAATGTTCAGAATACAGGAAGTGTAGATGTTTAGGTCTGTTAATACAAAGTGCATGTTATACCACCATTTATAGTTTAGGGCAGGTAGTAAAAAGCTCTGCTCTATATTGTGTTTAATACCAGCAAAGAAAAAAATTTAAGAAACATATTAAAGCAGATGTTCAGAGCATTAGTCACAGAGAAGAGAGGAAAGAGCAGAGTTAAAAAATAGGGTCACTGTGCTTTTCAAGGTGTGATTTAACAGCATGTGATTTTATTAATCACTTCTTTGTACTAAATGTTGTTTTGTTTTGATAATATACATATACAGCCCTAGGACTCACCAGTAATCTACCAGTACCCAGTAATCTAGCAACCACAATGGAGATCTGTGAATAAAAATAGTTGGCAATTTACCAGTACTTTTATTCAGAAAAACCTGTTGCAGTCCAAATAATCACTGTACAACTGGGATAATGCTCACTACTTGACATGCAGTCCACTAAAACTTATGGCAAAAGCATTAGGAGGCTTCCTGGTTGAGACTGGTTGAGTGGTTGACTGGAATGAGAATAAAGTGAGAGGAAGTTAATGTTCTGCAATGGCACAGGTCTCTCTTGAACAGACCTGGGCGGCATCAGCAAGAAAAATAATTTAATCTTGTGAACATTTTCAAGGATTCTAAGTTGTCTTTTTTTCTGGTGCACAAAACATGAGCTTTCAGCACTGATTTTGAAGAAGCCTGGGGCAAGAGGCTCTGTAGCAGTTAGATCGCTGGCAATGAGACCTAAGAAGTAGTTGCAGAGCAATGCTTCAGGCACAGCACTACCATGAAATTGGATTTCAAAAAGCCACCAGGAGAGGCCCAGCTGCTGGTATGCTGAATCAGTTCAGCTCCATGTTGCTGGAGTAGTCAATTCTGAATGACTAAACTAAATGGAGCAGTTAATTTCAGATTGGAAGAAAATGGAACGCCACTTCATGGAAAACTTTTTATTCAATTTTTTTCCCACATCCAGTACCAAATAAAGCCAAGAAAAAATTGTTTCCATGTTGATGTAGGAAGAAATTATTTACTGTGGGAGTGGTGAGACATTGGAAAGGGTTGCCCAGGGAAGTTGTGAATGCCCCAACCCCAGCAGTGTTCAAGGCCAGGCTTGATTAAGGCCTTGAGTAACCTGGTTTAGGTGTAGGTGTCCCTGCCCAGGGCAGGGAGGGTTGGTACTGTATGGTCTTTAAGGTCCATACCAACCCATTAGCATTCTATGATACTATGATTTATTTGTAATATTTAAGAAATGTTTTCTTTAACTATCCCCTTGAATGACCTTAGCAGCAAGAATGTTGAGAAAAGAAGAATTAACCCAGTACCAGAGAAGGGAAGCCAAGACACCTGGGTGTGATGGAAGTCAGGGGTTGCGCCAGCTGTGAGCTGGGGAAACAGCTGGGCAGGGGAAAGGTGGCAATACTCTGTAAAGGTTGTGCCTTGCAATGGGTCACCTCTTCAGGGATCTTCTGAGGCTTCACTGCTTCACTTTCATTTCATATACTCATAGTTCACTGTTCTACCAAGACTGGGAGCTACTGCTTATTTCCAGTCTGCTTGGGAGTCAAGTCAGTGGGATTGCTTCACTTGTGCCACTCTTGCAGGAAAAGGGCTTGTGGAGAAAATCCTGCCACTACATGGCTTGCTTGTATTTGTTTTGCTCCTTTGGCATTTGG